TCTTCATTCAGGTCCCACAGTCCGTTCACATTCCCAAAATTATGAGATAAGCTATATTTAGCACCAAAAACAGAAGCTGAAATGGGATGGCTCACTCTAGAAACAAATTCATTGTATGACTCTTTTATTTGTATAAATATACTTATTATAAAATTTATATATGTAGATAAATAAAAATAGTATGAGCCATAGATAAAAACCCCATATATAACGTCAACTTCTGCATTAGCTATATTGAAAAAAGAAAACAAGTAAAATTAATTTCAGGGTTGTTATATGATCCCGTATATTTAAACATTTTCATTTCAATATGTGATCCAATGAGAAGGATTTCAATACTGATACAACTTTTGCTATGTCTTTGAAATCTTTTCCTTAGTCTGTCTTTGGGGCACTGTAGGATTCTAGTCACCCCCATGTTAAATGTTCAATAGCTATATATATCTAAATCTTTCTAAAAATTCTTTTAACAGGAAACTCAAAGTACAAACATAAGAATCAACACAACATGAAATCTTAAGTGGAAATTAGACAGAGGTAGATATGAGGAACCATACCTATGAAGATAATTAACTGATTCAGTTTTAAAAATAGCACCTCTATGAGGCCTTCCTTATAAAAAGACAGTCCTATGTTTTTTCACCCAATTCATACCAAATATAACCATCAAGATGGTAGCAGTTGCCTCCTGCTTCTTTGCGAAGAGATAAATGGCATCAAATGACACAAAGCAATGAGAGTCATCAGCAGGGATGGCAGGAAAGCAAGAGTCAAATCTATCAAAAACGAGGGAAAGAGAAGCAATGTATAAGAAAGGAAAGCCCAACACTTAGAAAGAGATGCTTTAGGAGTTCCAAGCCCAGGCAGGGTGTAACACAAACACTATGTAGCTGAGGTAAGAGGATTCTGACCCAGTCTGCGATATACAGCAATAATCTGGCTAAAGTATCAAAAAACGCAAATGCATAAAATAATAACTTTAACAATGATATGTAGAACTAAGAATGATTCATAAGCAAGCAACTGCATGTTGCAAATGTTTAGCAGGGAACATAAGAGTGTATCTTTGAGATTTTGTGTCATGTGTTGGTTTCTTAAATGACAACCTTTAAAGCATAGAAGACAAAAGGAAACAAAGGTGGGTTTTACTAAGATTAAAGGTGTTTGATAATGAAGGTAAATTATCAAGGAAATTATAGAGGAGTTCACAGAATACAGTAGTTTTTAACATGTGTTTCTGAAGGGTCTAATAAGCATATGTATTTATTAAATCTCAAAGCTCAATAACAAAAAGACAATTTTAAAGTGGCAAATACGTAAATAGCCATTTTCTGAAGAATTCCTCAAATGGAAAATCAGCAAATGAAAAATTGTTCACAATCACTAATCCAGGGTGAAGTAGAAATAAATTCAAGAATAATGTACTTCTCAGCGATCATCATGGCTGCCATAAGACACAAAAATGTGGAAAACGGGGCTGGGAGGAGAGCTCAGATGATAAAGAGCTTCCACGGCAAACGTGGAGCCAAACTATAACCCCAAAACCCACAGAAAAAAGCAGTGTACAGTTGCATACATATTTCATCTCTGTGCTAGTCTGGCAAAGACAGGCATTCTGGGGCTCTCTGGCCAGTCTGCCTAGGCTACTTGGTGAGTTTCAGATTCAGTAAAAGACCCTGCCTCAAAGAACAAGGATGACAGATATGAGGTACAATGTAAGTGTATTGTGCGTGCACATGCATGCATACACACACACACACACACACACACACACACACACACACAAGAGCAGAGGGGGTAGGGGAAGAAACAGGGACACAATATGTTGGAGAGGTGTGGAAAATTTGGGAACCACAGATACTGCTAGTAGGAAAGCCATAAGGCTTAGGTATAGAAAAAAAGAGATTGTTACTCTTTTGAAAGGTAAAGTTGCTAAATGACTCAGAAGTTACTGGAGACAAACAAGAGTATATATCAGCAGAGAAACAAGACTTGTATATGAATGTTGATAGTATGATTATTAGTAGAAACAATCCAGGATACCATACCTGTTGACTGATAAATTATATAGCATACAATTTATATAATGGAATATTACTGCAGATCAGTAAGTATTTAGCTACTGACAAGTGCCAGTACTTTAGACCAAGGAACGCAGACACTGTGTGGTCTTTTTGACTTCTTTCCTTTCACGAATCATTTCCATCCCTGGAGCATTCACCAGTAACTCATTAGTTTTACCTGAAATATCTTGTATAAGGAAAGAAGCTAGGGACAAAAGGACAGACAGTGTCTGAGCTCATGGATATAAAATGTCCACTCTGTCCAATCAAATCTGATAAGTTATGATAGAATAAAGCTATTCAGAGCAGCTAATAAATTATTCAAATTATCAGAGATAAGTAGGTAAAAAGGACAACTATTATTTATAATAGTAGTGTATAATGGTAGCACTGATTTACATTGCAGTAGAATAACCTAGAGCAGATTCATATGGCAGAAGACAATGAGGAAGATTCATGAGATAATTCCAAGAATTATGATTTCAATTAAGAATCAGATGATCTGTGATTAAAGTCATGACCAATTAGATCATGTATTAGGAAATAGCCTACTATCCTCAAAGTTGATTGGGACTTAGACTGTCCCCAAAGGCATGCATTACTCATGTGGTTTCAGAACATGATATGTAGGTATGGGATCAGAACCAGCATATCATAAGAGTCTAAATTTCCCTCAGAAAGATTTTTATGCAACTTTGAATTAGACAGCCCAGTTGGAGTCTAATAATCCCATTTATCTCTTTCACATTTTATATGGACCAATTCCGGACAAAGTAATTATCAGTGCACCTCAGTGCTTTGAATGTCTCTAAGGGCTGGTATCCTGTTTACTCATTGGCCTGCATTTTGGCTGGGAGAAGAAGGTAAGAATTGCTCACAAAGCTCTCACCATGAATTAGGAAAAATAATTCTACATTTGTCGTGTATCATAATGAGTTAAAGAAATTATTCAAATCAGTTAATATTGGTGGAAAAGGGCAAATCCATTTGGAGGGAGTAAATACTAGGAGCAGCTGAAGAGAGGAAGCATCGGGATCTATAAAAGGAGATCTGCACACACAGCACAGGAGTCAGGGCTGATGACTCCAGTGCCAGAGTGCCTGTGTTCACATTTAAAGATGGACTGTCACGGCTAAGAAATGCGTGACATTGACCACACTCCTTGCTCCAGTGTTCTGTGCAACACCCACCTCAAAGTGTTGTGGTAAGGACTAAACGTGATAGGTACAGGTGAGATACAGGTGGACCAAAGGGTTAATAGAGTTAAGGCCCTTGCAGCTATACTTTATCCAGTTTTTTTTGTTTAGTTTTGCCATTATTAAAAAGTAAAATTCATTTTAAAAGTGAGATACAAAACACTGCACAGTCTATACAGTTTCCAAGACTCCAGGAAGCTATTATGCTAGGAAACACAACCACATAAATATAAACAGGTTAAAATTTAAATGTAGTCTTAGCTTTCCACCAAAGGTGCCCTTTCAGTTTTCCTGACATTTGTCTACATTATTTCATCCGCTGCATTTGTGCTTTCCTCTTTAAAATGGGTGTGGGGATGCTAATGATGAAGTGATCAATAGTCCCCAAGTCCTTTTTTGACCTCAAGCTCTTCACTCTAGCTGGTTACAATTACAGACTTGAATCATGTACTCATTTAATCCTCAGTTGTATACCCATTTCTGTCCATACACAGATATTTAAAACTTCATACTCCGACTGATAGAAATAAAGTCACAGAATTTAAAAGTTACTCTTCTGTTCATCCTTACATAAATAAGGCACTAGATTGAAAAAATACATTGTGCTTGAATCCTCTTTTAATGTCTTTTTGCAAGTACAGGTCTAGTGAATATAAAAATTCTTAAAGACTACTGCTATTCTGTCTATGAATAGTAGAGATCCATGCTTCAGCTGCCATCTTCCCTAATGCTGAAAGAATGAGTAATATTACCTCATGTAATATTACTGCAGTACTGATCTGACTTATGGAAACCCTAACTTGCCTGATAGCATCTGAGAATAGATTAAATAAACCAGGGGCCATTAAAAAGAAACACATTTAACCATTTTAACCAAAAACATAGTAATACACTCTGAAGTTCTGATGGGGGAGTTTTGTTGGCAAGATATATAGAAGAGGAAGCTAAACCTTAGAGCACATTAAAGGTTTCTTTATCTGTCTCTTTATTCTACAGCATTCCAAAAACTGCCACCATACACAGGGAGTTCATATACTTTCTCTTTTTTCTTTACATTTGTTCACTGTCACTTTTATCTGTTGTTCAGAATCTCATTGTAATAGACATGATTATTAAGATCCTTGCAAAAAGATTCATTTTAATATTTGTTGAGAACTTGTTATATTCAAGGGAGTATGTTAGCTTATTTTAAAAATTTTTAGTTACATTTGTGTGTGTGTGTGTGTGTGTGTGTGTGTGTGTGTGCCACAGCTGGCATGTAGTCTGAAGACAACATGAGGAAGTCAGTTCTCTCCTTCCATGTTGTGGGACCTGGGAATTGAACTCATGTTGTTAGGCTTGGTGACAGATGTCTGTGGCGAATGCTGAGCTCTTGCCAGTCCATGTTAATGTTTTAAAATAATTTTTAAGTTGAATAGCATTAGGGACTATTTATATTTTTTATATTTGGAGGATGACATTTTAATTTAAATACCAAAGAGGATAACACATCTTTAAAAAGGTCACACTACAAAATGGAGCATGCAACCGATTTTACATGTTTGCTGGTTGGTAATGGCTGACATAAATAGTTCGATATAGTTATTGTTGAATGTGTTGCTTTAAATGGCATTGGGAGCAACTGTTCAAAATATCTTCATTTTCTTGTTTCAACAAAAAATGGAAATAATTTTTGTATATGCGATCTAATGCACAGCTTTCAAATTCTATTAAATAGATTAAGTTTACACAAAGCCAAATGTATGAAAAGGGATCTTTTAAAAAAAACTTTATTTGAGAAAGGAAGAGACTTATAACAGAAGGCAAGAAGGGGAAACATACAAACAATATATTTACAACACAAAACAAGAGATCACCTCCAAGGGTGTAAATCATAATAAATACAGTAGATCTTAGAAGACATTGATTAGTTAATTCTAAGGTTAGTTATGTCCAGCTTTTCTTTTTACTGGTTCCAGGTAGTTTCTTGACTAAATTCAAAGACTATCAAATTCAAACAATTAACGTCCACCAAATATACTGATGAAGTTCTCTCAAATGACATTATAAAAAATAGGGTTTTTTTTTTGTTGTTTGTGATCACATATCTTTGAAGTAGTATTATACAAAAGTCTGCTCAGCCACATGTTCCTCCCCAAATAAAATGTATTTTAAAAGATGCACTATCCCTTTTTTTTTATGAGATTGAAAAAAGAATTTGAAGAAAATGAATATTTATGAGATGGAAAAATATACAATTTTATCTTAGGCATGCCATATTTTTAATGCAAAACAACTGACAAAAGTCATTTTAATATGAAGGAATATGTTAACCCAAACATATTGGCGATAGGGAGAGTTGCCTATTAGAACTATGTGACAAATTATCAGAAGGACTTTCATTATGTGGAAAAACTTTTAAGTTTCTAATTCTAGTTATGTTAATTTAATTCAAATGGAGACTTTTTAAAAAAGGATAATGTATCTTTAGCAGGAACATTTTAAAAGAAATAGTTTTAAATGTCACAGCAAAAATGTAAACAACACGTGCCAATAACATACAGTTGAACAATGTCTATATTTGGCAAAAGTGCTATGTCTCCCTGAAACAGGATACTACACCTTAAAATACCATGGATTAAGGAATATAAATATTTTAATAGAGAAGAAAAAGTCATGAAGATTTAGGTTAATTTGGATTATCCATATTATATGTGTCTTAATACAGCTCACATTTAACTAGCTTAACAAAAGTTAACCTGTAAAACAAGGCAAACATACCAAAAGGGAATATTAAGGAAATGTTCCAGAGGATAGTTTCTGTTTAAGGGTTTCCCTACTCATGATGTGATTTTCTTAGACAATAAATCAATTCATAGAACACCCTTGAAAAACAGAAACACTAGACTGCTCTCGCTATCCTTGGATTCTTTCTCCTACATGCCCCACTTCGTGAATCGCTTGGACTTCCTGTTTCCACAAAGCATTTCCTGTCCCGCCACAGAATCGCTTTTCTGTAGAACAGCGGGAACATCACAAAGAACTGACTCAAAGAAACATTATCTTCTTTTACCTTCAAAGTTGTTTGTATCTTTAGAGCATCAAAGGACATAGTCCTTCAGGAGGTGCATTATATATAAGCAGATTATTCTGTTAAATCCAACATTCACATTTTTTTTTATTTGCCAAAATGATATGATGTATGCCGTGGAACTGGATGCACTAGATCCTAAAGCTATCAGGTATAAATGTGAGTCAACCTCTTGTAAAATTGGTTTTAATTTGATAGCAGGTGGTAGTCATACTGTGCTTTCTGCAGCTGTCCATACAGCACAGCATCTGACTAGACCACCGTGCTCTACATTCCTTCTCATCGACATTTGCATCAGCTCCATTTGATCTTTGTAAGTACACAATGTCAGCAAATTACAGAAAGTTTAAGTAAACTGTGCAGTGCTATATCAGACATAATGTCGTGTTCAAATACAGAACTTCAGCTTGCATCTCTACTTAAAACCACCTGAAATGGTAAGATTTTTCAGTTATAATCTACACTATAACCTAGAGCTACTGGCATGGTAACCACAACATTTCCACTTAACAAAAAAAAAAAAAAAATAGAGAGAGAGAGAGGAAAAGGGGGCGGGGCAGACTACCTTCAACAGTGTTCAAGACTGTAGTATGATACAGTATGTACAGTCATATGAAAACTGAGTTCTATATGTTAAAAAACATCAGATCTAATAGAATGCTTCATTAATCAGGCTGGGAGACTATATTTTGTACTCACAGACCTCAGCAGATAAAACTACAAACAACAGTGAGTTCGTTTTTTTTCTAGAAGTAACTGTTGTATCAGGCTTTGAGATGGACTGAAAGCCTATTGATTACTTGGATATTATATAGCATATTTTTAGTGTAACAGGCATATTCTTACCAGTGAAGGTTCAATGAAACCTTGATACTCACTCAGAGATAAGTATAGAGCGATGCTTTATATAGAAAAAAAAAATTCATTTTACCTGTTTTAGAATTCTTTATCACTAAAATCAGAGAGAGACATACGCTGATAGGAAACAGTAAGCATTTACCAAAATCTGCGACCTATTTTATATTCAAATAATGACTTTAATTACAAATCCTGGAGCTAAATCTTTGCCTATTACCTGTTGCATAAAAGCAGCCTGCTCCCCACATTCCATTTCCTGTATCTGAGCATCTTCATCGCTGTCCACGGGTTCCTCCTTGACCTTCACAGCCCCAACTTGTCCCAGTGTGTCCTCCACACAAACACTGCTGTCGCTCCTAGTGCTGTTGTCCTTAGAAGTTGCTCTGTCTTCCATGGATTGGTCCCCCTGAAGCTCCTCCTCTGCTTCTTCAAGGTGGCTTCCTGGTTGCTTCAGTTGTTCAATAGATTTCGATAGCAGCTAAAAGAGAGTGTTCAGGAGTTCAAAAGTCAATAGTTCCTGATGCAACACATTCAAGTCATACTCTCAATTTTAATAACTCAACTCGTGCTAGGAAGGACCTGAAACATTAGGAGGAAACGGCAAATAAATCATATCCACAGATGCTGCGAAACTTTTTCACAAGGACATATTGAACAACAGTCCTCTTAATACAAATAAATTTGAGATAATAATTCTTTTCTCAAAGAAGGATGCAGTTAGTGTAGACACTCCTCAAACTCACATTTCAGCAAATGTTAATGGCTATAAAAGCCCCAATATCTTGCTTGGTACTAGTGCTTTATAACAAATACACTAGTATTCATATGATGAAATTATGGCAGTATTTAAGAAAGAGAATTGTAAAATACAGAAATATTTATTGTGGGGTTCTGAAGTTTGAAAGTCAATGATCTTTAACATTTGGAAGGCATAATATTTTATGAATGGATCCAAACAGAATTAAACAGGAGTTAAACATGATATTAGATTTCAAATAAAAACATATTTAGACATTTTAGTTGTTATAAATAAAATAATGTATAGCCTTTTTAAAAACGTGACTGATGATACAACTAACTTAACTATAGAAAAAAACCTCACAGAATCAAGCTTAGAAATGGATGCGAATCTTTATATGCTATCATCTGACAATGGACATTTTGTTTCATTTCACAATGATCCTATTGACTCTATAGATTTCAAACTGTGTTTTCAAGGATGGTTGGAGTTGGGGGTAAGTCAATGTATGTGTAACCACCTTGCCAATCATCACAGTTAACAGTGTACTTTTAATATGGCCATGGAAAATAAAACTACAAATTATTCTGCATAAAAATTTTTCATCTCACGTTCATACATAACGAGGTTTAAAAATATAAACAGGTTTTAATGTTTGGCTTACAGTATCACCAAAAAGTTGAAGGGTATCTTTCTAGATGGTGTGCGGTCAATCTTGAGTAGTCCTGAACCTGCAGACACATCTCTTAAATTTAACTGGAGGAATGCATGTTGGGAATTTTCATTTGTTTCAACAATTGTTTATTTGGTACCAATTAGCTTCAAGACTGGTAATGATTGAAAAAATGGGCAGGCTTTGCTCTCTATAAACTCAGGTTTTAGTGTTATAAAGAAATCAGGAAGATACATTTTTACCTCATTTTATGTATGAAATATTACATATTTTTATACGAAAGAAGAACTTTGAAGAAAAAAAAACACTGGGTGTTATAATAGCACCCTGTATTTTCAGGCAACCACTGGAAGGGGTGAGATGGTGTGAGGGACTTGCTGGGAAGTTGTTATGTTTGGGATGAAGGCTGAAAAGGAGGAAACCATCCTAAAAAGAATTTGGAGAAAATGGCACAGCTCATACAATATTTTGGTGGAGAATAAGAATGTATGGACATGAACTATAATAGAATAAGACCCAAATATCTCCAAGACAATCAGAGATGAACAAGAAGAGAGAATACATACCAATTAAAAGCCATATCAGATTTTCTTAAAAGAAAGAAAATTTCTGTATTCATTTCCTTTGTGCTGAAAATTTAATTTCTATTATTTCTGGGCAGTCTGTATGAGGATAAAATTCTTCCCAAAATGCTTACAACATCTTTAAGTGCATTTTAGAAAACTATTTTCTGTACAATTGTCCTAGCTTGGACCACTAATCGTCAATTTCTGTCTTAAATACATAATTGTTTGCACACTGCTGGGAGTTTGAAGAATAAACACCACCATAGTTCTAAACTCTGGCTATGTAGCTGTGGGAACACATGTCCTGCAGTTTTGGGGAAAAGAACATGCAGGACAATATAAAATGAGAGGGAAAAATGAAGGAAAAATCTTACTGTAAGAAAATCATTGCGTATTCTTCAGAGAAATGCCACTGAGCAGCTCTGTGGTGTTTAGTCTTGCTAGCCAGGCCATGTTAGAGGAGCTTTTTGAGGAGAAAAGACTGATTCCGGAAAAGGAGAGGAAAGGTCAAGGGCCCTCACAGAAAATACTAACAAGAAAATGAGTGACATTTTTTTTTTCTTAACAAAAGCTCAATGAATCATGGAAAAGCCCCGCATGACAACACAGCTTCGCTGGAAAAGTGACTGGGAGGTGCTGGCTTGTCAGAAAATGGTGAAAGAGAGGCCCAGGGACACTGGTCCAGCTGAACCTCAGACAAGTGTTCAATGTTGTCAGCCACAGCTTCATGGGGATAGCAGATACAAACCAAGGTGTGGGGTATGTGGCCAAGGACAGAAGTAACAGCTACATGTAAGAGGCTGGCCAGATAGTCCACAGCTCATGAGATTTCCTGGCAGAGTTCCCTGCTTAACAGAAGGCAAGGCTGAGCAGCCTTCTGGATCCACTCCTTTCTCATGGGTAGTTCTGAGAATGTTCTCACGGGAGTCATATCCTAACAACTCATGTTTCCTCTAAACCATATTTCCACTGCCCTTCCTCAGGTGTTTGCTTCCTATCCTTGCAGAACCAAATTCAGCTTGCACTTTTGACTCCCATGCTTTCTTTCATGTGGGTTGTACTGGACATGTGCTATGCTTGGCATTTTCTTCTGTAGATAAAACAATACCCCATTGCCACTCTGAAGTAGAGTCTGGTGGTCTCCATCTCCCCAGTCAATTCACCCAACCCTTGGTCCCTGTCTCTCTTCTCATACCATTTTCTTCCCTTCCTGCTGGTACACTTGCTTGTTACAGTACTAAAAAAAAAAATAATAGAAGGATTTAAATACTATCTCAGGACTGTTTATAGGCTGGGACAACACTGTTTTGGCTGTAACAGTGAACAGACCATTTGCCCCCTATCTCAGCCAAGTCCTTGACTTATGTCCTGAATCCCAACATCTTCCACTATCTTCTATTTTATCATGAATTTTTCCTCTTTTCTGGGCTATTCTCATCCTAATGTTTTCAGTAACAACATCCATCTGAAAGAAAAACCTTGCCTTCCACCATTATATATCTCCCTTCACAGCATAACCTGAACTCCCTCTCGCTGCTTTTATTTTTTATTCTTCAGTCTATGTTAATCGGGGTTCCATTTGAACTGAATCTTTCTTGTCAAGGTCAGTAATATCAGCACAGAGGCAAATTCAGATGGGCATTATAAGAAAAGTGGTTTTTGTTGTTGTTGTTGTTGCTGCTGCTGCTGCTATACAGATATTGCTTTATTTAGTCTTCAACCAACCCAGTGAGATGAGCCCTAACATTCTCTTTACATACAAGAACATGGAGGCTCAGGTTGGTTAAAAGTCATGTCACACCCCAATGACAAGTAGTGATTAGGAAAGAGGTTTTTAAAAAATTTTACTTATGATGTGTGTGTCTGTCATTATGGGCATGTCATGTATGTGGGTGACAGTGGAGTGCATTGAGTTGGATCCTGTAGAACTGGAGATGCAGATTTGTGTGAGGTGGCCAAGCATGGGACAGGGACTGCAAACTGAACATGAGACCTGGGGTCAGAAGCTTCCGCTGGAAGTACAGAAAGTGTTCTTGACCACTAAGTCATCTCTCTGCTGCCTGCCTTCACCCCTATCCTCCATGGCCATTTAAACTTGTATTGACAGGTATCGGGGAGGGCAGGATGGTAGAGTCAAACAGCATGCCAATCATGCCACCCAGGATAGGAGGGGACTGTGCTCTCTAGTGCTGACCAACAATGCTATTCACTAGAATAGAATTTCCGTCAATGGTAAGCGTGTCAAAGTAAACTCAGTTGTGATCATAGAACTTCCTGAAATTTGACTTTTTAGTGTGTTTCTGAGATCACAAAAATACCCAGAGATCATCTCATCTTGTTCAATTGGTTCAGCATTCACAAATTCACCGACATAGATACATACATGACATTGCAGGAGAAACAATGCCACTTGCTCCAGTGAGTTCCCTGGCTTCGCCTCCATTTCTGAGGTCTTATCAGGAAGGGAGGCCTAAAAATGATGTTGCCATTACTTGGTCATAAAGAGCATGGTAAATTCTCTCCTTCTAAGAACAGAGTTCAACAAGGGTTTGTAAAAGGAATGTTTACCGAGAGAGCAGCAATTTATGGGTGGAAAACATGTAGGTATGAAATGTTGGAGTTGAAAAATGTCTAACCCCATCCTAAAACTCATTTCCAATCTCAAAAGAGCAGCTTGCGTGTTGATAGTGTTCTTCATTCCTACTGATGCCCCCGCAGTCCTAAGTACTACCGTCTCCCCCCACCCCCAGGCTACAAGACACTCAATTCTAGGCTTCCTTCTAGATGCTCTGAGTCTTTTCAATATGGCAGCTTCAATAATCACTTCACTCTCTTAGGTAACATCAGTTCTCAACAGACAGCCATCAGAGAGCTTCCTGCCACTTTCTCAGTAACAACCAAATCTCTTAACATGCCCCAAAAGTGTTCCATAATGTGGCCCAACTTATTTCTCGTAGTGTACTACAACCTACCTTTTATGTGTTCCAAATAGCCTGGCCTCTGCTTGTCTTGTAAATGTGACACGCTGGCTTTTGCATGAGACATTGACAGACTGGGCTTTTCACTTCTTCACAACTATATGTCTGAGCTAGTTCCTTACAGAATTTACCTCAATTACCATTTTGCTAATATATTTTTATTGGTGGCCCAGATTATTATCTGGCATTATATTGGTATTTTTTGTTTACAGTTACAGTGATTTGTGTCCTTACTGGAATTCAAATGTCCCAAGAGGCCAAGCTGGATGTGTTTTATCATTTTATATCCAAGTAACTCTAACATTGCATGGCATCTAGCTGAAGTACAAATATTGGAATATGTAATGCTTAATAACAAAGCTTTCATAATCTCCCCCTCAGATTTTGAATAAAGTACTCTATACATGATTTAAAAAATCTTCCTGTTTTTCATCTTCTGAGGAATAAAGATGTTCCCTGTGAACATTCATATCACATCATCAGATAAATGGGGCATCTTGAAGCCAGTTTCACAAGACATAA